AACAGAGTGACACAAAAACCTAACTGACAGACGTGATTCGTGACAGAATGAGGCTGTTCTTCCTTTAAAAAAATGGATTTAGTTAATTTTTTTATAGATGTTTTCTTTGAGCTCACTTTGTCAATTTTTAATTTCTTTGTCTGCCTCAGATGTGTCTGAATCGTCAGTGCCAGAACGTCAGCGTTTTTAACGTGCACGAGTGTGCAGCCAAGTGCAGCGGTCGAGGGGTAAGTGCGGCACTTCTCCGCTGTATTTCAGACAAATCTCAGCCCAGTTGTCGCCCCGTTTCTTTCTCGCAGGAGCTCCCGAAGCTGCAACATGTTCAAAATTCAGTTCATTGTATGCTAGTTAGGGAATAAATGGTGACGCCTTGCAATAAATCACTGTGAGCGTTGAAGGGTTCAATCAATTAGATATAATGATCTCATTTATGTTCAACTCTAGGTGCCATTCATCACACACTCAGACTGCCATTCTTGTCATAAACCCTGAATTAAAATTTGTTAGCCAAATTTTGTTTGGAGAAACGCAATGACACACAGTTTTAGGACTTGGAGTCAGAATATTTCTCAATTTTAAAAGCTAAACATCTATGGGTGGTCCTGTTTGACACGAGTTATGCAGCTTAGCTGTATTAAATTCTCGGACATGGTCTGCAGGCCTGGGTTTTAACTGGGGAAGCCGTTCCTTCATGGCACATATTGAAGAAACGGTTGTGACTGCCTCTTACAATGAAACATCGCCAGCCATTAGGGGGTCGTATTTGCTTGTGTAGTTCCAGTTAGGCCACATTTATAAACCACTAAGTAATGTTGAAACAAAAGGATGTGGCTCCTGCAGGAGAGGGGGCACCCCTGCATGCAGAGATTAGATCAAGATGTTGCTCCAAAGAAAAGCCTTCACCTGTTCCACATTACCCAGGCAGGGAATCTTCCAAGACTTTACCGTTTCTGCACAACAGGAAGGCGAGAGGGCAAGACTGTAAAAATGCAGTTTAAAGGGCAGCCTTGTTTTCCATATCAGATGTCTTGATTTGCTTATATAGAATGATTTAAACACGTCTCAATCAGAAATACCCAAAACGTTTACCTATTCCATCTTGTTTTACATGACAACTCACTTTTTGCTGAAATATTACCTTTAAGCAGATTTTCTTCAGCCTAGACAAGGAGGTGTTTGAAATCAGTTGCAGTACTGAGAGTTGTGATGGGCATTTTTTACCACTTTGGAATAAAAATTCATATTGGGTTTACCTTCAAAGTATGAAAACGTTACTTGTCGGTGTCCTTATGAATCGTGCTTTGTATGATAAAGGTGTGGAGTGTCACCTCTTGTTTTTTTATTATGCTGCAGGTGTGTAACAACAACAAGAACTGTCACTGCGAGGCTCACTGGGGGCCTCCTTTCTGTGACAAGATGGGTTTTGGAGGAAGTGTGGACAGCGGCCCCATCAGATTTGCAGGTAAGTTAGCAGAAGACACAATCAGATCACTCAGTTGTGTTATAATTAGTAATGCTAAGAGAGTCCTGGAGTTGTTGCAACTAAATTTAATTCCTAATTTTACTGTGGCAACTTCTATAAATGCTTGTAAATCTTGTTGTATTTTAATAATATAAGCGTTCTAACTCAGAGCAGTTGGATCCTGAGTGGAAGGAAGTGTTAAAGGAGGAAAATGTGAATTATTTACTAAAATCATTCCACATTCTAGAAAGTTTACAGAAAACTGCAGTCAGCAAAACAACGAGCGAAATGTTCTGAAAATAGTTTTTTTGTTTGTTTGTTTTCTTTCTTTCGAGCAGACAACAGGAACGTGACAGTGGGCATCCTGGTGTCTCTCCTCACTATGATGGTAGCTGCTCTGATTGTCTGCATCAAGAGGAAAACACTAATGGAACGACTGTTCCCCGGCAAAAAGAACCCCATTGAGAAGCTCAGGTTCAAACTAAGTCATTCTTCTCTCATGCTAAACAGGTTAAAAAAAAAAAAAGAATAGCGGAAGCTAATGCTAAACAGGTTGAAAAAAATAGTGGAAGCTAACGCTAAACCGCTAAGACGACTGTCACAATCTCCGTCTTCGTCTCCTTCCAGTTGAAGCTGCGTAGACCAATCACGTTGTCATGTGTAATAAGCCAATAGTGTGCCTAACGGACTCGTCAAGACACGTCCACAACAGACAGGAACAAGCTTGTGAATTTGGTTAGCAAACAAAGTTGGCGAAACCCAATTTAGCGAAAGAAAAATCCGCTAACAGTTTTCAAAGACATTCATCTGCTAAATGAAAACTTTGTTCAGCTGTCAGTGGATTAGTGGAACTGTACCGCTGTATATACGTTTTCTTTTACATGCAGTGTTTTTTTTAATAAAGTTAGGGTTAGGGTTAAAGTTATCCTTGAGCTAGGAAACTATGATATGTGGGAATGCTGATTCAGCATTTGCAATTTAACGACTTCTGCTATTTTAGCTCAATCAGTATGGGTGCTATAAATTTGGGTTTTTGTAACTTTTATATTTTTCTAATAAATTTCACTTTATTTACAAATATTTCCAACAAGGAAATGCATTAAGATCAATTCAATTCTTTCAAACACAATCTTTGAAATCCTCAGTTTACTTGTTCTATTTTTGTTTTCTTAGGCTACTTTTATTTGTTAGCTAGACTTTTGCTACTTTTAGCCTTTAGTCAGTCTTCTACAGTTTTACATTGGAGCTAGCCTTTTGCTACTTTTAGCCTTTAGTTAGCCCTCTACGGCGTTGCATTTGGGCTAGCCTTTTGCTACTTCTAGCTACCATTCTTCTAATTTTAGCTTGTTGCTAGCCTTTTGCTACTTCTAGCTATCATTCTACTAATTTTAGCTTGTTGCTAGCCTTTTGCTACTTTTAGCCTTTAGTTAACCTTCTACAGCTTTACATTTGGGCTAACCTTTTGCTACTTCTAGCTACCATTCTTCTAATTTTAGCTTGTTGCTAGCCTTTTGCTATGTTTAGCCTTTAGTTAACCTTCTACAGCTTTACATTTGAGCTAACCTTTTGCTACTTTTAGCCTTTAACTAGCCTTCTGACTTTACATTTGAGCTAGAATTTTGCTACTTCTAGCTACCATTCTTCTATTTTTAGCTTGTTGCTAGCCTTTTGCTACTTTTAGCCTTGAGTTAACATTTTATGGCTTTTAGCTTCTAGCTTTTTATACGCTCGTTGAAAGGTGGACTTACCATGGTATAGTCTCGGTACGTAAACATAAATTCTGATCCGCTCAAGATAATTTGACCAAAACTTGTTACACATATACCATCACTAGACTGAGTGTTACACATTTCATCACCCCAGCTCAAAGGTCAAGGTTGCAAATCGAGGTCAAATTTTACCTGAGTTCTCTGCTTGTCTGGGCCATAACTTGTGATCTGCTCAAGATAATTTGATAACACTTTATCACTATTGGACAGCGAGTCACAAAAGCTTTTCTTCATGCCAGCTCTAAGTCAAGGTCACAAATCAAGGTCAAAAGTTATACAAAGTATTTGCTTCAGAGTCATTGCTATAGATTGCTGTATAAGTTTGTTGATGAGTGTATAATGATACGTGTTACTCTTGTTCAGCTTTCTTTTGCTACTTTCAGCTTTTAGCTAGTCTTTTGTTACTTTTCACTAGCAGTTTGCAACTTTTGGCATTTAGCTTGTGAAATGTTCTGCTTTTTTCAGCTTTACCCTAACACAGATTTAGTTGTTTTGACTCTTTGGTCATTTAAGACCAGTGGAGTTAAGCATCTAATCCTAAAATTATATTTTCTTGTTTTGTGTTCTAGATCAGACAGTGCAGCCATCAGTGGACCTTCAGCTTCTAAACCTCCATCCACAGCGAGCACGTCTCCATCCAGACCGGCGCTGCCTCTGCCCCACAGTGCCACCATCTTCAAGGTCACTACAGCAGATCTCATGTCTGACGTCGACCGTCCATCATACAGACACACAAACAGCCATTATCTGCGAGCTGAGACTTTTACAGTCAAACAAAAGGAGGATTAGCAGCAGCAGATCTTTGCTGCAGCCGCTCTCACAAGTCGTTCTCAGCCGGATGGATGTGTTGTTTTCACACAAATGGCAGCTCATTCAGATCCAATTAAGCCGTCCCTCTGAACGTGGACGGACGGCGGAGGCGGTGATAATGGAGTCGGGGAGGGCTCAGGACACTTGAATGCATTTCTTGCCATTAGCGGCTGCCTTTTTTCAGAGAGAAATTGATTTATTTGCATGTTGGCCCCATGAATAATGTTGACAGAGCTGCTCAGTTGACACCTAAAGCAATTTTGTTGCAAATAATTGCAAGACAGAGACCTCGTTTTTGCTGTAATGACTTGTGTGCTCCTGTCGCCGTGCGCTTTAATCAGTGCGTTAGCACCTTGGCATTATTTGTAATCGGAAGCGATCCGACTGATGTAGGTTCGCTGAGGGATGAAAGCAGCTGGGTCAGAGGGGTTACGGGGTGACACAGGAGTGAGGCGGGTTCATGTGCATTAGCGTGAGGTAGATATTTTCAGTTAGCAGCATGTGCTTTTCATTTAGTAAGAGGCGAAAAGATGTAAGGGCTGTTTGATGTGAGCGCAGTGAAGGTGAGCTCGTTTTCCATTTGGGAGATGAGTATATCAAGCTGCTCGCATCTGGTGTGGGCTAAATATGAAGGAGACGGATAATTTGGCTTGAATGAATGTCAAATCTCTCGAAATGGGAGTGTGTGGTCCGTTTGGCTGCGTCCATTTTAGAATTAGGCCAAACGAAAGCCTAAGGGACAGTTTAAGTCTTTAATTAGTTACCGGTGGAGGGTTTGGGCAATTCTGAGCTGTGATTAATTTTCATGTTTCTGACGGCGTCAGGGAGCAGCAGCAGAGGAGGAAGAGGTGAACTTGATTGTTCTGAAAGGAATCAGACGGTTTGACCAACTGGCTTTTATCTTTCTGCAGTCTCCTTACCGGGGGCCAGAGGTGGGCCCCCCGCCAGCTCCATACCCCGCTCACAGCCTGCGCAGACTCCCCCAGTGCCCTCCAGTTCACCTCAGCCACCCGGTCCCCCTGTCTCTCACGTTGTCCCTCTCACCCGGGCCCCGGCAGCCGAGACCCCCGGCCCCTCCGCCTCACCGAGCCCCTCCTCCGCACATCCACATGGCGCCCAGGGGAGCGTCGTTTCACAGCGTGTCACATCTGAACTCCTGCAGGATGGTGATGGTGAGTCTGTTCGACAATGTTTCTGTAACTCTGGAGAGACTTTCATCCTGACCGGAGAAACCACGACATCCGCTCCACGTTCAATTCAATTCAGTTTACTTATATAGCCCCAAATCACAACAAAGTTGTCTCAGGGCACTTTACAGGAACATTCACATACATAAAAGCCAATTAGTAAAGTTCCCTATCCAGTTCAGGCTGGTGTCTTGATGTTGATTGTTTTCACGGCACTCGTGCAGCTTATAAAAGTTTTAGTCTCGTTGGCTGTTCGGTGCAGTGTAAGGAAGTAACGAGGGTGAAACAGGAGCTCGAAGCATCCAGGCGTGACGTCAGATCTGCAACACAAAACGCCACATAAATAATGAAAATAGAGCCAGACATGTTGTGAAAGTATTAATCTTGGGGGGGGGGGGGGGTAACACCACAGTAGTAAAGTTACAGTTACAGCTACAGCGTGGAGTTTGGTTATGAACTTCCAGGCTGTAAATACCTGACCCTTACTTTTCTGCTTTTGAACACAGACAAGACTGAGGTTTTAGTTTTTGGACCCGAGCATCTTAGGAATCATTTTTTCAGTCTTTCTCCCTCCTTATATGGCATTAATCTGGCCTCCAGCTCTAATGTTAAAAATCATGGTGTTATTTTTGATCAGGACGTCTTTTATCCCCCACATTAAAAACGTTACTACAACCACCTTCTTCCACCTGCGTAATATCATTAAAATTAGAAACATCTGATCTAAAAGTGATGCAGAAAAACTGGTTCATGCATTTGTCACGTCTAGACTGGACTATTGCAATGGTTTGTTATCCGAGTGTCCAAATACTTCTTTAAAAAGTCTTCAGTTGATCCAAAATGCTGCTGCCAGAGTTTTAACTGGAGTTAGTGGGAGAGATCAT